CTCCGATACAATAAGATTTCATTCATAAATCACAAAATCGAACCTCAACTACTTTCGAAGAATGCTACTCTATGACAACAATGCACCAAGCAGCACAAATCGATAATAGTAAAGGGCCGATTGTGTCACCTAAAAACAAAGCCAACAAAAAAATACTCATACAAGCCTTGTTAACATAAAACGTTCAGTCCCAAAACAAATACTCACATATCGACTAGAACAAATAAAGAGCATTATAGAAAAAACAGTAGAAAAATATTTAAACAAAATACAAACTATCAACATTTAATGTTAGTCAACATCAACAATACAGGGAAAAACTAATTGCCCATAGTATGAATATACCGACAACAAATAGTCACTATTCAGTCAAAACTGTAAGCCGATCGATTCATGTTATTTCATGTACTTCACACAGTTCAGTTGCAACCATAGACATTCCAAATCAATAACCTCACCAAAGACTTACTAAACACAACTTGATATAAAACACGATGACCATTGTATGAACACGTCAACTTTTTTCCCTGTAACCTGAAAACGAAATCAACAGAATCAACAAATTAACATCTCATGCCGGTCGATCGGCAAAATGGACTCAACAAAAAAATAACTCTACAAACGAAATAACAAACGCATATCCTCATCCCCTTGAAACCAATACAATAAAACGTAATCGATCTTCATGTCAACATCGTTAACGAACAATTGTCCATTCATATAAAAACTGGTACCTAGAAACGGCATCAACAAAAGTTAATTAATCTTCATATTAAAATTATCAAGGAATAGACTAACCAATCGGAAGGAATACAATTAATCAATCAAATAAATTGATCGAACAAAAACAATCATTCAATCTAACAATAACCGTTAAAATAGATAGGAGACATACTTACAATTTCACATTAAAATAGTTAGAAGATATACTTATAGTTCGAAAGCACAGATCAAAATAATAACTCATCTGACAGTGTCAATCGTACATCGTGCCTTTATTCCATGCCGATTCATGATCTTTGACTTGTAAACAACAACAAAAACATAAATTATAAAAAAAAAAAAAAAAAAAAAAAAAAAAAAAAAAAAAAACATAAAGAATAGATATATTACTGACACAAACTAACATGACTTATAAATAATTAACAAAAGATCAGACGTATTGTTAACATAAATTAACAAATTGCAATGATCTACAACTGAACATGCGCCCCTCTTATAACCCCTTATTTAGACCTTCTGAATACCAACGCAATTAAATACGAAGATAGTTTTCCAATGTCAATACAATGCAATAAGTAATAGCAATCCAATACACATGTATACTTGTTATTAATTCACATCTTTGGAATGTCAATGCAATGCACCTATATTATTGTTGTTGTTATTATTATTATTAATTCACATCTTTGGAATACCAATGCAATGCAACTGTATTATTATTATTATTATTATTATTATTATTATTATTATTATTATTATTATTAGTGCTCTACTTAGGATAGTCACTAAAATTTTATTAAATGAATTTAAATTACATTTCAACTTTTTCATCAATCAAAAACTGTTTGGTGCTAAAAAATTTCTTTCGAAGAAAATCCAGCCTTCAGCCGAGAAACAGCATTTTAAGATTTGTTAATGGGCTTTATTAGTTCTTAGGATAAACAGCCCAGTGGGCCATGTTTTAAAGTAGATTTGCCAAGTACGGCCCAAACCTTTTTATCACAAATTCACAATTAAAAAAACTCTTACCACCCTACATTCATCTTAGTTCGTTGTAGCAAACCAAATTGAAAATCTGATCACCAAGTCAATGATCTAGAATGCAGTACCATATAAAGAATTAAAAAGATGTTGATGCCAAATTTCCTATTTATTACATACATATCTTTCGAGAAACCCTAAGACAATGTTAATGAATATTGTTGTGCGAGGATGTGTGATTAACTCGGAGCAGGCAGTAGTTTGGAGACAAGCTGTAGCTCGGCGGAAATAGTGAAGCAGCCATCAGATTGGAGCGAGTTGTTGGGTAGTTATCTTCTAAATTGTGAATAAGCATTATCTCCTAAAATCAAGGAGAAGATCATAAGAACACTCCTGATAGTTTCGGCCACAAATTATGTCATGGATTACGAGATTAACTCCTGAAAATCATGCCCTAAAATTTCTCTCATAACTGTTGCAATTCAATAGTATAAAAACCCCTAAAAAATCATTGTAAGGGGATTGAGAAAACTAGAGAAGAGAGATTATTACTATAAGGCAAAAACATTTGAATAATATAACAGTGGACGTAGGCTTAATTTGAACTCGTTAAATCACTTTAAAAATCTCCTAACTCTTTTTTATTATATTTTAACTTATTACTTACTGATTTTTAGTAATTATGTACACATCCTACTCAATTCTTTCAAGGTCAATTGAATATGATGTTGTGCGTTTTCAGAACAACAAATACACACAAACTTTGCCCACTAGCAAATTGAGAACAACCTAACGAGTTTGTCAATGCACCAAATATTATTCACTCCTTGTAAAACTTTGAAATTTCTCAAGGAGATGACCACACTAATACGACTTTTGAAAAGTAGCAAGCAATAGTAGAGACCAGTCAGGAGATATTTCGACTTCCATTCCTACTAAATTTCTAGTAAGGAATCTAATTTGCCATACCAAAGACGAATATTGATTTTATAGTTTCAAGATAATTATTTTTAAGTAAAAAAAAATCAGTTTACACTCAAGAACAAACCAAAGAGCAATAAAATTATGTGATAGGATCCTCCATTGATTTAAATTCTAATTACGGAAACATGCATGTTTTATTCTTTGTAATTGAGATTCATTAAAATTGAATATAATAAATAATAATATTTTGATTAAATTATATAGGAAAGATAGGTGATCTAAGATCCTTTAAACTCAAAATCAACAAACTATGAATATTATTCTCAAGCATGAACCCAAGAATTTTTTTCAGCAAAACTTGGAGAGAAGGTGGCTTTGAATATTACTCTCTTCTAGCACCATGGTCAATGCATGTGGCCTATGAATTATCGATGGAGAAAAAAACAGAACAAATTTTGTACTGGTTATCTTCAAATCACTAGAACTTTTACATAGCCAATAATTCTAACATCTCAAGAAATTAGTTGAGGTACATATAAACTGACCATATATCCTTGGTAATAAAAAATAAAAAAATTCTTAATTTCTAACATTAGTTTCCTTTAAAGAAAAACTACATTTTCAGAACTAGGCTTTGGCCGGCAGACATCTTAATAGGCTTGGTTAATCCTTAAGATGAACAGTCCAGTTGCCCATTTTTGTGAAGAGAAATACTCCAAACCATTTTAAGGATATGATCAAGTATCTAAGGTTAATTAGTTTAAACACACCGCATTCCTAACAAAAATCCAGATATATTTTGCAATCTGTTTCATGAAAGGCAATTATCACAATTAACCAAAGTTTACTATCCCACATTCATCTTCGGTTCATTATAGCGAACCATATAGCAAATCGGGTCACTAAATCAATGATAAAAAATGTTGTATTGTGAAAAGTATTAGAAAGATGTTGATGCCTGATTTTTAATTGATTACATATCTTCTACAAAGATACGAGACAGTACTTTAATGAATCCGCACAAACGTTTCCCATCAAACAAGATGAGAACAACTTAAAGAGGCGGTCAGGCCTTCCCACCAAACAAGATGAGAACAACTTAAAGAGGCGGTCAGGTCAATACACCAAAAAATATGCATTCTCTGTAGAACTTTGAACTTCCTCAAGGAGACGACTACGTCCTAATACGACTTTTGAAGCCAATCATTCACGGAATCTAATTTGACAAAACCGAAAACACGATTTATTAATTATATAGTTTCAAGATAATTATTTCCAAGTAAAGAAAAATCATTATACTTAAGAACAGAAGAAAGAGCCTTAAAGTTATGTGTTAGGATCATCTGTCGTTCTAATAAGTGAAAGAGCAAACGACTTTTTCCCACCCAGGTTTGCCTTAGTAAGACTTTTCCACCCAAAAAGTTTAAAAATACCACTTCCCCACCCAAAGTTTATATTCCGACCAATTGTAGGCCGAATCTGACATCTTGGCAACCTTAAAACACCGTCATTCTCTTTTCCAATCATCACTCACCAAAACCCCTCAAACCTTACTCCCGTTGACCCCACCAATCGCAACAATTGAGCGATTTGTGAAATGCGTATCCGCCCCTTCCAAGTCAGATTCCAATCAATCTCAACTATCAAAATCCAACCTGCCACCACCAAAAGACTCATCGATATCCCCTCTTCAAAAAACCCAATAGCCTGGACAGAGTTTGCTCTCTGTTTGCGGCAGAATTAGAAAGTGTATTCTAGGTAGGAAATGGAATATAAACTTTGGGTTGGAAAAGTGTTATTTTGAAACTTTTTAGATGGGAAATTGTCATTAAGGAAAACCTTGGGTGGGAAAGGGGTATTTCAGACACTCAGCTAATTGAAATGGCTATGAGGCTTCAAGCTTCTGGACAACACTTCATTTCGGTAGTGAAAGAGGAAGTGCATATAAGTAGTGAAGAAAATAATGAATGGAGTCTTGAAGAATTTGAGAAGAGAATGGAGGGAAAACGTCTGATAATAAGGGGATGGGCACCCCAGATGGTGATTCTAGATCATGAAGCCGTTGGGGGGTTCATGACTCATTGTGGATGGAACTCAACTCTGGAGAGTGTCGCTGCTGGGTTGCCAATGGTCACATGGCCTCTCTCGGCAGAGCAATTTTACAATGAAAAGCTGGTTACTGATGTTCTGAAAATAGGAGTGGCGATTGGAACCCAGGAATGGTCAAGATGTTTTGAAGCTAAAGAGACAATAGTGAAGAGGGACGATATAAAGAAGGCAGTGACTCTGTTAATGGTTGGTAAAGAGGCAGAAGAAATGAGAAACCGAGCCAGGGCACTGAAGGAGGTGGCAAAGACTGCATGGTCTTTTAGCTAAAAAGGGACGATATAATTTTGCAATGACCATACGTTATAAAATTTGGGTTCTTTGGAATCCAGCCATCTCAAACATTCATGTTCACTAACGGAAGCTATTTCTCCTCGTTGTGCTTTGTCATTGATGTCCGTGTTGCAAAGTGAAACAGGGCCAATATGCCATGCCTTCCTTCCCATAACTTTCCAGTAGTGGTCTGAGTAAGCTGGTTCCAGCTCATAGAAACTGTTAACCACAATCCCATAGCTCGTAATCTCCGCCTGTATAGCTTGTTCCACAAGCTCAGTTAATAATTCGTTCTGCGTTTCTACTTCCAATTCATAACTTGTTAGTTGTGATCTCGTCAACGTTCTTTGGTCCGGAAGACCTGGTACTGGGAAGGGTTCAAAGTCAGATGTAATGATTTCATAAGGCTGATGCTCCCTTAAGCTATAGTACACACAGAGAGGAAAAAAACCAGTTCCATGGAAACACAGCCTTGGAATCCCAAACTTGGCAGCAGAATCTGAAGCCCATGTAAATAGCATGTCTACCACGATGCAATTGGGGTGGCATTCTTCTAGAAGTTGCTCAAATGGTTGTTGGAGAAGGCTTATGGCCTTACAGAAATTGATTTCCATTTCGAGAGAATTGATGGAATTTGCATTCTCACTTGATTCTGGAAGCCCTGCCTCTACTGTAGGAAATTTGATGCCTCGAATACTGATATCAATTCCTTCTTGCCTCCCTCTTTCGATTTTATTTGAGAATAGATGTGCATTTAGAGGTGTAGTGACAACTGTTACCTTCACACCATGCCGGGCAAATAACCAGGCCATGTCTTGTGTTGGAATCATGTGTCCTTGGGCCAAATATGGAAGGAACAATATATGAAGCTGACGTGACTGTGAATCCATGTAGCCTTGCAAGAAATCTTTTTAGAATTATGTTTTAGAGTGTCAAATTAAGGAGAAACTGAAAAGCTAATAGAAACTTAGTTTATTTCCCTTTCTTAGCAAGTGAAGTTTTTGGCTTGCTTTTTCTGTCACTGGTTTCGAACTTATATAGCACGGATTTGAAGGGAATCAGTCAAAAACATCATCCGTACATATTCTTCCTCCAGTTTAATCTCTATAATTCGATTGGTCACTTATACTGTTCCTTGGCCTATAAGAAACTAATAAAAACTATTATCCAAGCTTCTTCGTTGGTTCTGCTGGGGTTCTGCTGGCTGGTGCTGCTGGGTCAGTGGGTTAGTTTTCTGCTGGCTGGTGTTGCTGGGTTGGTGCTGCTGGGTTGGTTTTCTGCTGGCCGGTACTGCTGGGTTGGTGCTGCTGGGTTGGTTTTCTGCTGGCCGGTACTGCTGGGTTGGTCTGCTGCTGGTTGGTGCTGCTGATTTGGTGAAACTGTTGTTCTCTACTGGCTGAGGCTGCTGGTTTGGCCTCTGCAGTTTGGTGCTGCTGGTTCTGGTTTCTGCTGCTGCTCGGTTGGATATGCAGGTGGATGTTGTTGTTGGTTCTTCTTCTGATCACTGCAGCAGCTGATCTAAGCTTCGTGTGTTCTTATGTGCGAGCCGTAGTGTTTGGGGTCATCGTCCCTCTTAGTTGTCCTTCTTTATTCTTTATAAAATTACCTATTACTCAAAAAAAGTTTCTTGGTTGGTTCATATTAATGTGAGAACAATATTATATTTTGTTTGATTTTCAAGCTAAAAAAGGTCGTATTATAAATTTATAACTTTTTTGTCTTCTTGAGGAAGTTGTTTCATTTCGTTTTACAAGAGCATACATAAATATTTGGTGCTTTGACTTGTTAAGTTCTTCTCACTTTGCTTAGTGGGCAAGGATTGTGTTGATTCATTAACATTGTCTTCTCTGTAAAATATGCATTCTCTGTAAAACTTTGAACTTCCTCAAGGAGACGACTACATTCTAATACGACTTTAGAAGCCAATCATTCACGGAATCTAATTTGACAAAAATATAAATTATATAGCTTCAAGATAATTATTTCCAGGTAAAGAAAAATCATTATACTTAAGAACATAAGAAAGAGCCTTAAAGTTGTGTGTTAGGATCATCTCTCATTTAAACAATTTTTCACCCAAAAAGTTTCAAAATATCACTTTTCCACCCAAAGTTTATGTTACGACCAATTGTGGGCCGATTCTAACATCTTTGCGACCCCAAACCACCACCTTTCTCTTTCTGATCATCACTCACAAAAACCCCTCAAACCTTGCTCTCGTCGACCCTGCCAATCGCTAGCAATCAAGCGATTTGTGAAATGTGTAATCACCCCTCCCAAGTCAGATTCCGATCAATTTTGACCACCAAAAGACTCATTGGTATCCCCTTTTCAAAAACCCTAACAGCCTAGACCGAGTTTGCTCTCCATTAGCCGCTAAATCGCAAAGTGTATTCTGGGTAGGAAATGGAATATAAACTTCAGGTGGGAAAGTGGTATTTTGAAACTTTTTGGGTGGGAAAGTGTCATTAAGGAAAACCTTGGGTGGGAAAAAGTCGTTTACTCTAAGGGAGCGTTTAGCTCATATAATGTTTTGTTATAGGGGGATATTATATTAATGGAAAGGAATATCACCTTGAAGATTACTAGGCATGTTTAGAAAATGTGTTTGGTTGATTTGAATAAATTGGTGAATAATTTGTTTGGTTGGGATGATAAATGGGTGGGTACGTTATCTAAATTACTAAATTGCTCTCATTTTTAAATAATAATATAATTGTATTTTTTATTATTATTTTTTTAATCATTTCTTTTAACCCCCTACATTTGAAATTTTGTTAAAACACCCCAGCCATATAAAACTTTAATTTGTAGCAAAATCACCCTTACCTACCCCAAGCCACTACTGGCAACCAACCACCGCCAGCAGTTGACGGAATGGCTCACGACTGACTGTATATGGCCGGTCGTGCACTGGCAAAGTGGGAAATGGAAAAATGGCCAAATCTATGGCCATTACATGACCAAAGATGTAGCCATGAAACGACCACAAATCTGGCCGTGCCATTTCACAGCTAGATCTGTGGTCGTTTCAGAGCCAAATCTTTGGCCGTAAAACGACCATAGAAACATTAGATCTGGTTGTTCCCGACCATGGATCACAGATCCATGGCTAAAAAAGGCCTTATCGACGCACGATTGGCCAAATCCCGTTGGATGTGCACCATTACGACGATTGACGCTAGCAGCTAGCGGTGGTGAGTCACGGCTAGCGTTGGTCTTGGGTGGTTGGGGGTATTTTGTTAACTTTCAAACTTTTTGTGGCTAGGGTGTTTTAGATAATTTCTCAAATGTAGGGGGCTTGGGCAATTGTTATTTGGTAGACATTTGAGGTCCAAAATGGTTTTTAATTAAGGGCAAAATAGGTAGAAAAATCATATTACCTCGGTAATGTTTTAATCCCAAGGGTGGGGGAGGATATCGGATTACCCCAAACATTACCAACAGTAAACACTATTTACAATAAAAGATTCATGTATTGTTTTATTACTTGCAAACCAAACACCGAAATCTTGTAAAATAAACGAAGATTACCCCATTATCTTATATACCCCCGATCCAAATGCCCCCTAAGTGAAAACGTGCATGTTTCATGTTTGCAATTAAGATTAATTAAAATGGAAGATAATGATTTAAAAAAAAAAAAAAAAAATTGATTACATTAAAAAGGAATAATAGGTGGTCTAAAATCCATTAAATTCAAAATCAACAAAATATGAACATTATTCTCAAGCATGCACCCACCAATAAATTTGCAATCAGAACTTGTAGACAAGGTAGCTTTGAATGGTACTGTCTTCAAGCCCAAGGGTTACTACAAGTGGCTAATGAATTACTGATGGAGAGAAAAACAAAACACATTTTTTTACTGGTATTCTCTTTAAATTGCCCGTAGAATGAGATGAGCAAATATAAACATTGTTTATTGAGCATTTTCAGCTTCAGATAAAAACAACCATTAACAGAGTCACTGCCTTCTTTGTATCGTCCCTCTTCACTATTGTCTTTTTAGCTTCAAACCATCTTGACCATTCCTGGGTTCCAATCGCCACTCCTATTTTCAGAACATCTATAACCAGCTTTTCATTGTAAAATTGTTCTGCGGAGACAGGCTATGTGACCATTGGCAACCCAGCAGCAACACTCTCCAGAGTTGAGTTCCATCCATAATGAGTCATGAACCCTCCAACGACTTCATGATCAAGAATCACCATCTGGGGTGCCCATCCCCTTATTATCAGACCTTTTCCCTCCATTCTCTTCTCAAATTCTTCAAGACTGCATTCACTACTGGTATGCACTTCCTCTCTCATAACCCAAATGAAGTGTTGTCCAGAAGCTTGGAGCCCCATAGCCGTTTCAATTAGCTGATTGTCTGAAAATCGCGCCATGCTTCCAAAGCATACATAGAGAACTGATTTGGGTGCTTTGGAATCCAGTCATCTCAAACATTCATGTTCACTAACAGAAGCTATTTCTCCTGTTTGTGCCTTGTCATTGATGTCTGTGTTGCAAAGTGAAACAGGGCCAATATGTCATGCCTTCCCCTGTCAAGTTCAAAATGATACTTTTCCACCCTTTAGGTTCTAAATAATAGTGATTATTTATTAATTCAAATGTAAAGATATATTTTTTTCTTTGTTTATTTAATTAATTAGGAATATTGATTTTCTATGTTAATTAGTAAAAATAAAAAATATTATAAATAATAGTGATGAAATATTGATGACATTATAAATAAATAAATATTAAGATCATTTAACTTTAAATAATTTCATAACATTACTCCTAACTTTTTAGGTGAGGCTAACTATTTTTCTTTTTTTACTTTTTAATATTTGACCTTTTGACTAATTAAAAAATAATAAAAAATTTACACAGTAAAATATTTAAGGGTATTTTTGTCTTTTTAGTAAAATATTAATGGAAAACATAACAGAACGTAACGAAAGGTGGGAAAATGTCATTTTGAAACTTGATGGGTGGGAAAGTGTCACTAGCCGATGACTGACAGTCGCCAAATGATGCACGAACCAATCGGATCTAGCCCGATCATGCATTAATCTGGCGATTGCCAACTAACGGTGGTGACTGCGGCCAGTGGTGGCGGTAGTAGTGATGACGAAGGTGGTGGCCGATAGTTGTTGGCAGGTGGCTGAGTGTTATGGGTAAATTGTTTTAAGAACAAGGGTAATAATCTCTTAAAATTTTATTTGTTACGGGTACAATTGTAACAAAATTAACATTGGTATTAAGATTACCATCTATATAACTAACAATAATTACTATTAATTTTAAAAGATTATCGAAATATTATATTACTTAATAACCAAACGTGATAATTTTAATAATATAAGATAATATTATTGGAGTTATGTGACATTTCTCCTAGCCAAACACACCCAAGATGTATATAAATTAAAGGATGTGTTTAGGATTTGATCAGATTATTTTATTCCCCACCCGATTGTAAAAATAAATCTTCACGACAGAACAACCTGGATACAAAAAGATATAATCAATATTATATCTCGATCTGTCTCACCCTTTACTCGTTATCAAATCATAGCTCTTCAATCTGTGTTTGCTCCTTCCTCTTTTGAGAAAATGTAGAAAGATGACAGGTAATGGTAAAACCCTCAAATTCTTGCTTTAAATTTTAATCTGTCATTGTAAATACCGATGATAATTTTTAAAACATTGTTATCTATTAAGTGACATTGTTAGGTGTTTATATGGTAAATTAGTGGGAGAATTACATTTTCCCACCCAAGGTTTGAGGAAACGACACAAACAATACTTTTCCACCTGTCAAGTTTCAAAATGACACTTTCCCACCCTTCGTTAGGTTCTGTTAGTGTTTTCTGTTAATAAATGACTGAAAATGCAAAAATGTCCTTAAATAATTTATTTCTTAATTAGTTTATTATAAATTAAAATTTAGTTAAATTAAAGTTCTTATTCGATTATTTATCAGTCCAAATATAAAGATACATTTTTTCTTTGTTTATTTAATTAATTAGGAATATTAATTTTATATGTTAATTAGAAAAAATAAAAAACATTATAAATAATAATGATGGGATATTGATGACATTATAAATAAATAAATATTAAGATCATTTAACTTTAAACAATTCTATAGTATTACTCTTAACTTTTTAGGTATAGCTAACTATTTTTTCTTTTTTGACTTTTTAATATTCGACTTTTCGGCTAATTAAAAAATAATAAAAAATTTATAAAGTAAAATATTTAAGGGTATTTTCGTCTTTTCAGTAAAATATTAACGGAAAACATAACAGAACTTAATGAAGGGTAGAAAAGTGTCATTTTGCAATTTGATGGATGGGAAAGTGTCATTTCGCCAAACCTTGGGTGGGAACGTCGTTCTCCCTAAATTAGTAATATACCTCCTTAATTGATTCTCTAACAAATGAAAAACCACATAAATATAATTGATAGTTCTCTCTTATTTTCACTTAACTTAAAATCAAATTCAATCTTGTATAGATTCCAATAATCATTCTTCATGAAAGGACTCCAAGTTAATTAAAGAATTCTCATTTTACAGAATGTTTTCATGATTTTTTGGAACGGAAACTGGCCGGGAGTAGTTAGACTTCGGCTTCACAGTCTAAAGTTTAAAGACAAACCTAGAGTGCGTCAGATAATGGATGAGTGGAACCTGCCCATGAAGTGCATTGAGACTGGTATTGTTAATCATGATTGATTTTATGATGCTGCTTTTTCTTTGGTTGGTTTGGGGTTTTGGATACGACTGCAATGTGAGCAGTTTCTGGTGTTGGGCCTCAAGCTCTTGGGGTCATTTTCTTTTTTACCTTTTTTGGAGAGGAGCTCTGCTCCTCAATCCTTATTTAGGCCACAACAACTCAGAAGAGCTATCACGTACTTTTGCCGTGTTAAGTTCAATCAGAAGTAAGGCTTAAATGGGCAGTTTTTTTTTTTTTTTTCGGGAATTTGGATTGGTAACTTAAGAAGGCCGCTTTGTTGGTTTTGGGGTGTTTCTTTTTTTTCGGCGGGAAAGTTCAGAGGAAAATTCTTTCCTGCTTTAAAGGGTTCTTCTGCAGCCTTCAATGGGTTACTTGGGTGATTTTCTTCCAGCCTATTGTCTATGGCGTTTGCAGTAGAGTCCACTTGTGGACTGATGTCATTAGAAAGGAGAATGTAAGGGGAAGTTGGGGCTTTAAGTCTAGAGTAATATTACAGCCACCGAAGGTTGCACACCGAATATGTGCATCGAATGACATAACAAAATCCTGACCATTGATTTATTATCAATTAATATTAATCAACAGTCAAGATTTTATCACATTATTTAGTATACAGATTCGATACGCAACCTTCTATGATTCTATCATTTTCGTTAAGTCTGAGTCATCATTTTAATCTCTTAGTCTGGGATTGCTTTTTTTTGGAAGGAGATTAGGCTCTTGTTGCTGACCGGTCCGTTTATTTGAGTGAACTTCTGGAGTTCTTGGGCTTGTGTCATTTGAGCTGGAGGGTTTATTTAGGCTTTTGGGCTTGCAGCATTTCTTTATATGAAAATGTTTTATAGTTAGTTATGGGTTTTGTCTGGGCCTTCTTTTTTATAAGGCTTTGCTTGTAGAGGATTGTTTTTCCTTTGTTATGGCATTTGTTCTTGTTAGTTTGATCCTTGGGTTTGTCCAAGGCTCTTTTGGGGGAAGGGCTCCCCTTCCTCCGTTGTAATTTTTTTATTTTTTTTTTATTCAATTATCTGAGTTTACCCAAAATAAAAAAAAAATAAATAAATAACATAACCTAGAACTTCTTTATAATCGTATTAATTTGGAACAAATCAACCATATTAAATTCTTGATAGTTCTGCAAATAATAAAACTTGTATTTCTTTTTCTAATGATGATATCAATAAGTATATTAAAAAAATTATAAAAAATATTTTTATTTATTTATTTAAATATATATATAATCGAAATTTGTATTTTTTAATGTCCTTATTTTGTGCCTCAAGAACACAAACCTCTCACATTTGCATATATAGTATAGATTTTGTACCATTATAAGGCCTACATAAAAGGCTATCATTGTATAGTTAATATATATACAATTTCAACAATACATTAATCCATTATTCATTAATCTAATAACAAAAGTCCTCATAATAATCTATGTCTAACAAAAGCAGTATAAGCTAATGAAATTCTCTTGGGTCTCGCCGGAGGATTATTGCTCGTTGGCGTCACATTGCAAGGAATTATATCAAACGTCGAGGGGCGGGGGCAAGACCTCGTGTCCGAGAAGAACATTATACACTCCACCTTTGATCTCTGATCAGGAAGATCACGAATACAATTATTTTTCACCTCAAGAACCCCACTCTCGATCAGCTTCCCACACAATGTCCCAACTTTCGTGAAATAATTATTTGACAATGATAATTTCACCAGATTTCCTAGCGCACACAGCACTTCAGGCACCTTCCCATACAGTAGATTTCGGGAGAGGTTCAACTGCTCCAGCTTCTCCAAACACCCCAACGAGATCGGTAACGGGCCGGTCAAATGATTGTTGCTAGCATCAAAAACCTTGAGCTCTTTCAGAAACCCTAGTTCATATGGAAGACAGCCACTGAGCCAATTATTCAATAACAAAACTTCAGTTAACGTAGACGAAGCTTTGCCTATACTTCTCGGGATTGAACCAGTGAATTTGTTGTTAGCTAAGGTGAGATAAAGGGCTGGTGTTGAGCCAAGATTTTCAGGGAGCTTTAGCGTGAATTTGTTGTTGTTAAGGAAGAGTACATCAAGGTTTTTTAAGAAAAGTTGGGGCGGGACTGACCCGGTAAAGAAATTATATCGAATATCTAAAAAAGATAGGCGATTCATGTGGAGAATATGGAGAGGGAAAGCTCCTGAAAAGTTATTGTCACTTAAGTCTAGTTCATATAAAAATGGGAGTGTTGCGAGTTTTGGAGGTATAGTGCCAGAAAATTTATTAGAATTGGCATGAAAGATGGCAATATCAGGTAGTTGATTGATGAAGCCATCAAGAGTTGGGGCAACGAGGCCGAAGCCATTGAAATCGATGGAGGCAAGGGCTGTGGCAGATTGATTGTTGGGGGGGTGAGCACAGTAAAAGCCTGTGTAGTTGCATATATCTGATCCAACCCAAGAGCTTGTGACATTGAAGGGATCTGATGTGATTAAGTTCTTGAAGGCCTGGATAATGGGGTAAACTTCTCTGAGCCTGTGGTCTAGGAATTTTGGTATGGGTGGTATATGTAAAGGTGGTGATATTGGTGGTGAGATTATCGAATTATTGGGGCAATATGCGCAGAGAAAATATGGTAGGAGGAAGATAAAAGTGTGAGTTAAGTGTTTGATGGGGAAAGTGATGATGCTTCCCATTTCATATATGATGAAGAAAGAGAGATCGGAAGAGGAAGAAGATGAGTATTATAAGATTAATATTGATCAATATTGTGGTTGTTGAACTGTGACTTACCATACATAAAGCATATTCTAATTGTGGTTAGTTAAGAATTATTATTATTATTATTTTAGTAATCGAAAGTGTCTAAGCTAGTTTATGCATACTTCAATTAATTCTTCGAGGCCTTAAAATTAACGGTCGAGTAATCCTCCAGTGGACACTCTTATTAACAACAAAAAAGAATCAAAATCAAGATCTATTGAGTAATAAACCCAAAAGTCTCAGTTGACTGTCTGGCCACCCAAGGGTTAGTAGTTAAGAATTATTTGTGAATATTGAGATTTATTTAAGTTGGTTTTAACTTTTAAGTCATTATATAAACATATATATAGTTTACAAGTGTCGATCTAATCAATTCTTTATCACCATTCATTTTTGTGAAAATAAATGCTTTAATTTAATCTCATATTTTATTAACTAAATTTAAGAGTTATTTTGCATTGAAAATAAGGTGGGTTTAAAGCTTATCCTACATGCACCTTTTTTCAGTGAATCACATGTTTGGGTTGACTCAACTGATCAAACTAAATTATAACTAAATGCACCTCATTACATAAAACAATTTTTTCATGGTTTTAGTTATTACAGTTTTTATCGCTTCAACAAGTAATAATCTTATATTGTTGATAAGCGATTATCAAACTTTCTTTAGTGTACTTTTAGATTATTTATTGATGATGCATAACGAACCGCCATCGGATAGCCCAATGGTAAAAGAACAAAATGAGGTTTAATAAGCTTATGAGTTTGAGTATCTCCATACACTAATAGGGATGACTACTAAAGCTCTTACTCGACCGGCAGTTCGAAGGCCTTGAAAGATTAGCTGAGATTCGAGTTTCCGCAGACTCTAATAATAGTGGTCATTGAGAGGATTTACACAGTCATCAACTTCAGGCCCTGAAGAATTAATTGAGGTATGTTCAAGCTGATTTGGACACTTTGATCACAAAAAAAAAAAAAAAAAAATTAATAAATAAATAAAATAAAAGATTACTTAAAATGTGCATAAATTAACCCAATCATCTTCGATGATCAAATATATGTATTTGCACCATAACTAACAAGATATGTCACATGTGCCGACAATTAATTGGGGATGGCTCTCATGATCGGTAGCTGTTGGTGCCATACTGTTACGGGAAGAGCAAGAATAGAGACAAATCCAACAAGGAAAACAACATATATAGAGTCGAGAGAAAGTTACCTATTGATGAAATTCTCCTTATATAATTAATATTTGGATTAATCTGAATGACAGGTGGCATTTAAAGAAAAATATCGTTATATGTCACTAATGCGTGGTTTTTGGTCAAATAACTCCTTTTTCATACACAATCATTAATGGTTGGTCGCCTTTGGTTTTCCAAACAATGATTCTATGTTCTATTTCTATATGTTAAATCAAGAGCTAATATGTGTTCGATGATGACAAAGGCTTCGTTTGGTTGAAAATTTAGGGTTTTTGGGAATTTTTTTTTGAAAAAAGTTAAAAAAAAAGTTGAATTGGACGGGTATTACGATGTAGGATTTATAAATTAATAAAATACCTCATATGTTTGTTTTTTTACAAAATACCCCCTATAATAAAACATTAAAAGTTAACAAAAACACCCCTAACCCACCCTCAAATACGGACAGCCGGCCACCACCGCCGGAGGGTGGCCGGAGTCGCCGTATCGGCGCATGACCGGCTGGATCTTGCCGGTCTTGCGCCGATATGGCCTTTTCCAACTAGATCTACGGCTAGATCTGGCTGTCAACGGCCAGATCTGGCCGTATTTGCTCATCAACGACGGACAACAAGCGGTCGTCGTTGATGGTCAACGACGACCGTTTGTTGGCCGTCGTGACCGACTGTTACGGCCAAAGATCTGGCCGTCAACGGCCAGATCTTTGGCCTTAGATTTGGCCTTTTCCGGCCAGATCCACCATGGATCTGGCCGGAAAAGGCTAGATCGGTGCACTACCGGCCAGATTCAGCTGGTAGTGCGCCATCCTACCAGATTCGGCCATTTTCCGACAGTGGTGGCCGGAATCTGGTAAATGTGGATTGTTGAGGTGATTTTATAATTTTTAAAAAAATATTTAGGGGTATTTACTTAAATTAACAAATTTAGAGGGTTTAAAAAAAATTGAATAATATTGAAAGTAGTATTCCCAAAAATCAGAGTTTTTGGGTATTTTACTGTTTAACTTTTTTGGGAATACTAAAAGTAGTATTCCCAATTTTGAACCAAACGAAGCCAAAATCATCTTTCTGACATCACAAGGTCTACCTCTTATTACGTATCGAGTATCGACTGTCTCATAACACAAATCCTAGGTAGATATTAATTGCTTTCCCTAATTAACATTTATAGGGTTTAAGGTCGTAAGTTCAAAACTTGGGGTGGCCAAGTAATAAAGTGAATTTATAGGGACTAATTAAAATTCTATATAAAATTTGAAAGTTTTTGTGAACTCTGTGGTTTTGCCCTAATCTATAACGTATATCAAATGTGTTTTGTCAAATTACCACCTATATAACCAATAGTTATTATTATTGGTATTAAAAAATTACTGAAATCTTATATTATTTAACAACCAAACATAGTAATATCAATAATATAAGATGGCATTACTAGAATAATAAGAGATGACCCTCAACCAAACAACCCCTAAGAGAATATTACATACTCTTGTTATAGAACATACATAATCAAGATTAAGAAGATAAAAGATAAATTAAAATATTTTTTCTTTCAAATTAGTGATTTATTAATTTATCATTTACATATTAACGTTATGTTTAAGATTATGATTGAAATGTATGGTATTTTACTCATACAAGGTGAGGGGAAAGAATTCCAGTTGTAAAATATACAATAGAAGACATTAGACCATTAAAATCCTTGCTCCTTCCAACAATTTTTTGGGCCTCAGGTACCGATTTATGAGGGTCCATTTATTTTAGAGTAAAGTATTCAAATCTATTAGGTTAAATTATAATGTTGATTTAGTATTATATAATAAGATTTTACACATATTCTGAAAAACAGCTAAATTATGAAAAAATATGTATGCCACCTAAATCACCTAGTTAACATAGATAAATCAAAATCTAAAATATGCTTGCATTCATTCAGGCAACTTGTACCCTTAAGGTGCGTCTGGTTCAGGAAATGTTGTATTATTGTGAATGTTATATTAATGGAAATAAAGATTACCTTAGAGATTATTGGAAATGTTTAGGAAAATATATTTGGTTAGGTTGGAATAAATTGATGGGTATGTTATATTGATATATTTGGTTGGGGGGATAAATGAGTAGGTAAGTTATATAGATTACTAAATTTTTCTCCTTGTTAAATATTAATATAAGATTAATTTTATTATTAATTTTTGAATCATTCTTTTAACCCCCTACATTTGAAATTTTATTAAAACACCCCAACCATATTCAACTTTAATTTGTAATAAAATCACCCTTAGCCACCCAAGGGGCTGTTGGCAGCCAGCCACCACTGCTAGTGGCCTGTAGTCGCCGTAACGACGCACGACTACCAGATTTGGCCTGTTGTGCACATATAAGGCTGCTTTCGGCCATGGATTTGTGATCCACGGTCGAAAATGACCAGATCTGGTCGTTTCACAGCCAAAGATGTTGTTGAGAAATGGTCACACATCTTGCCGTAAAAAATCAACCATTTCACGGCCGCCAGATCTAGCATTTTCACAATTAGATCTAGCTATTTCTGACCATGGATCTGTATAGCCTTATCGACGCACAGCTGGCCAAATCCGATAGCTGTGTGCCGTTTCGGTGACTGTCGACGGTGACCGGCGGTGGTAGCCAGTGGCCGACAATCCCTTGGCTAGCTGGGGTGGTGGCAGGGGATGGTTGGAGGTGGCTGTGGTCTTGGGTAATTTTGTTGAAGTTCAAGAGTAATTTTGTCTTAAAAATCCTAAGTATGAGGCTAAAATTTTCTATAAATTTTATTGTAAATTATTTAGATAACAAGGGTATTTTTGTCCATAATTTTTATTAATAGTAGAAATTGTAACAAAAATAAGCTTACCAAGTAATATTTAAACTTGACAATCTTAAAATACCTAAGAAAATTGAGGTAATCAAATTATCTCCAATATTACTAACAGTAATTACTATTGGTTTTGAAAGATTATCGAAACTTATATTACTTGACAATCAAATGTGGTAATCAAGTAATATAAGATGACATTATCTCAGTAATCTCTTATTACCGTCAATCAAACACACACTTAGAACACAGTTTTACTTATTGACAATTCATGAAAATACGAAGGAAGGATGGAGGACAATAATCATCGGGTTAGGGAGTACATAGTCATTTTCCTTTTGTTTGGTGAGTTTATTTCATTTCTCAGGTAAGTTAGTATTAAACTCATCCACTTTGTTAAGAAAATATTAATTACTCTAATAAAAAGGTTTTCTTATAAATTTGAAGGGAGAAGTATGATAATTATTATATAGTTTTTAATACTTTTTTGAACCAAAAGGATGAATTAATACTTAGTAATCTTATAGGAAAAAAAATGAAATAAACCGTTTGTTTAGATTGAGGGTTTGTCAAAATGATACCATCGGAAATAAGGCTTGCACGGATGGAGAATTGGCACTAGAAAAAATTTGAAATTGAAGTGTTTGTTTATAGAATTTTGAGGCAAACAACGTAACCCAATCCTAACTACCTCTAGGATGATCGAGTGGTCTGATAAAGACTCTTAGATATATTACTCAAGAGGTTCTAAGTTTAAATTTCATGTTGGTTGCTAATAGAGATAATTACTGAAGTTTTTATCTAATCGATAGTTTTAAGATTTTGAGTGATTAGTTGAAATATGTATAAACTGGTTCAAATATTAAAAAAAAAAAAATCCTCAGAGAAGAAATTGTGATTATCCCCTCTCCATCTTATCATAGGGGAGTTAGTCCTATATATGC